AAATAGATTTACAGTTTATCGAAATGCACCTTCACCAACGCAAATCTGATTTAATATCGCTTTTTGAAATCTATCCGCGGATTCTAAAATACAAGCAACATGCTAAAAAACATGTGGGAAGCCGAAACGCAATGGACAGTCCACAAGCATGAGAGAACCACACAAAAATGGAATAGTAAGATTTTCTGTTAATATAGATTCCAACTACCTGACTAGGAATGCTTTATAAAAAAATTTCTATTAAGGACGTTTGAACCAGTAGCCGAGTGGAGAATACTGTACAAGCGTGAAAAATCACAGTTCGCTACGATTACATTAGCACATACACCAGAATTAGCCCCTAAGCAACAACAAAAGTAGAGGTTAACACTTTTAGCGCTCGACATTATGTAAAAATCCCGCAGCATGGCCGCCCTAGCAAGATTGGAAGGAGTAATAGTCGAAGGAGTAGCCGCTACCGATCGCACTGGATACATTAGCCGGAGAGAATACGCTGCAGTGTTACATCGAATGTTACGCATAATCGATACATTCTGTTTCTTAAAAAGTACATAACGGTAAGACAGCACACTCTTTTGTGCCCCTCCTTTGTTAAGAACTCTTCTTTAGATGATCTGATGCAATGGTGTCATCACTACGCACGTCGCATATATGCCTTCCTTATATAAGGAGAATGATCAAACATATCTGACCTTTGTTAAGCAATCGTAAAGCCATTTTCAGATGCATACGCGCGGCCAGGTTCTTTGGCAAGCTTTTTATTCTTAAAGATTGTGGTACTCGAAAAAGGCTACTAGGGTCACTCATTGTCGTTTGAAAAATTGTGTTTTAGGGCGGTGTGTGGACGAAATTCGCGAACTGACTGCGGTACAAACATACCAATTTATAAGTAGTACAGGAGTAAAGTATGTTTGGGAAGTCGTTTTCTACTTGCAGACTATCCAGTCTGTTTGCGGCTGTCCACTTAATTTGCAGCTATTTTAACGGGGCGAGCGTGTTACTTTGTGATTAAACGGTGATACGTGTCACTTAGGATATTATCACAAAGGCTAATAATGTTCGTAAATATTACCATAACGGGTAATATTCAGTAATACTCACCGATCGGCTGATATGAGTTATAATATCAGCCAGCTATAGCGGTTTACTTAACGATGGACGCGCGCAATGAGTGGTGAACAAGACTTAAGTATGCTCTTTTGTAGATAGATTATATTAAGATCGGACTAAAAAAGGTTGATGATCAAAACTTAATTGCATTTCATACAGATTTACTTTATCAGCAACTAGTCAGTTCCTAATTGCTTTCCTTTCCTCTGTATACTTAACATAGGTAGCGAGGCACCACTTACTTTGCTGTACGTGATAACGCTCTACACTGGTTGCCAAGTGTGTTGCTCCGATGTCCCATTTCTGTATCCCCTGATTTGCGGCTATTCGTTTGTTGATTTTAGGTGAGCTGCTTGTATTTTAGAATGCCGCAATTTACCCGTGTGAGGCATATGCAACATTCGTACTTTACGGAATTAATCGGTGCTTAGAAGCATCCGCTACCTTTGGCTAGTTTACAACTGCTACCGTGGGAGCGTGCTGGGCCCAACCCAATAATCTCTAGGGGCGTAATGGCTATTGTTCTTGTCGCTGGACAGTCTTTAGAGAATACGACCATCTGCATCTTCTTATAATAATGCACGTATATTATGGCGAACATCCGATTAAACTACGTCTATTCGCGTTTTAGCCTAATCTTTAGGTGTGTCACTGCGCTGACCAGACAAGACACTGATTACAAACTAAATCGATTGATTTAGCAGGTTACCGCGTCCTTAGAAATCTTGTCCGACGCTATTTGTGAATAAAGCTCATACGGATTAAAACAAGCATTAAACAAGCCAAGCACGCTTCGTACATCTACGAATTATTGGCTAGCCCCGCTTCGCTAGGCTTCGCTACCAGGGTGCATCACACCCGTTTTCGTACAAGCTCACAACAATCCGTCTGCACATTACCTGCCCAAAGTCCGACAGGATATCAATGCCTTTCAAATGTTTAGCATTGTTTATAATGATATTTAGACTTCTCGCCGTAATGTAGAGGTCTAAGGGTACAGGCAGTAGTAAGTAGCTTACCAATAGGTTGTTTCGATCCCAGTAGATGAATGTGTCGAAGCAACGATGACATGAACACGTTCGTACTATCATATCCGTACGTTTTAACACGTGTGTCATTGCAATCATACTGCTATCATGACAAACGTAGACGTTGTCGCAGGATTTTTCGATCAAGACTTGCCAGTTATTTGTTTTTTGGTCCGTAGAAGCAAGCCAACGATAACAAAGCCCCTCGAGTTACCTTCCGCGTTCACGCAAGCATTTCTTATACTGCCTATCTTAGCGTAAATTGTCTTGCTTTCCGCCAAGCTTTTTGGGCGTAGCTCAACTGAGATTTTCAGTTTAGCCCTCGCTACCGCATTCTGCGAGCGAGATCGATTCGCAATTTCTAACTGCGAGGCATCCCATGCATCTTTACGATTATGCTTTAAAATTCGTGCATTCTTTAGGTGGAAAAAGACAGTTATTGCGGGCCTCCATACCATCGCAATGTATCTCATTTTATATTCTCACTTGGCCAGATAAAACACTACATTACATGTAACTCTGGCAAGCACGAGTCGCAAAGTCCAGAGGTACCCATTGCGTTAGGCAATTGTTGCAAAATTCGCCAAAATTTACAATCCTGCATACGACCTTCAAAAGAGAAATTAACGTTGCCACACAATTGCTGCATCCTTTCTATAACAAATTTTAATAGACGTGAACCGTTCGTTTCCTGCAGCTCCGATATGTCGATGATCCTTTTGATAAGGTGGCGCGTGATCCATTTGCATCAGAAGCTCAATTTGGACGCTACGTCACCTGAGCGATAGTTTCAATTTTACGTGTTTTTATTGATGCCGCAACCAGCAATATTTTCTCTGGCAAACAGCCCCTGAATCTTCACACATTCAATTTTCTCTTGATATCGTTTGCGGACTTCACAGTTGTGCATGTGTGCAAGCTCTGCCAAAACAACTCACGATATGCGTAATGCTTTCCTGCACCGCAATATTGCCTCGAGGCAAGCTAACCTGTGCCAAAAAAACTGCTGCGTTGAAGAGGAATTTCGCAGTGCGTGTAATTCCAAAATATGACAATTCTGCCACTGCATCTGGACTTGCGACGTTGCAGCTAAGGAGCTGCTTTAATCGACAACCGCGCCTTACCCATAGAATGCGTACTCCTCAACAGCAGCCGCTGCGGCAGAGACAAACGAGCAGATGAGGGCCAAATGCTTTTGTACAAGACATTACTACTTAAGCTTGGACCATCGTACGGTCGAACAAATCCAGCACTTTAACTCGTCCACCACGACGACAAGCCGAGACCATCTTCGTCGATTGATCCCTGTACGTGTGTGTGCAGCAAAACAAAAAGAATTCAGATAACGAGCTCAATAGGCGAAAGCAGAAATCTTACCAAGATGTGTATGGCTGATGGCGTAGGATCGTTATCCGAAAGATCTACGCTCGAAGACCGTCGGCGGGCCAATGACTGTCGCATGTCTCCTGCGCTAACGTCCTTCTCCGCCTTATCTGTCGCCTCTGTTGTCGTAGCTTGAATGCCTGAGTACACATGACACCACGTCAACTCCATCTACATTGTGCATTACGCTCGATGCACCAATTCACCTTTAGCTGTCTTCGTCACACGCGTAAAGTTAATGTTGGTAACTCGAAAGCGAATCTCCTCGTGCAAGTCCATGTAGAACTTCTCTGCTCACATCATGAATATAATCAGCACGTACCCTTCCTCCCTCACCTAACACCAAACAACAACTCCACGTCTGCGGCGCTACTTCACCTTGTCCATCTGAGTACTTCCACACCCACAACTTCTCTGCCGTATCACTGCGGAAACCAACCACAACAGCAACAAACATCACCAGCAGTACCATAAATATCACGTTAGCATTGTGCAAGCAGTAGCTCTGCCAAAACAAGAGCTCCAACAGCCTGTTTTCAAGAACAGAGTCACGCGTACTAGTACGACGGCGTCTGGAGAGCATAAGACGGTATGATAATGTCGTGCACAAAGTCCATGGATACGCGAATGTGCTCGTCCGTGCAGCTCACGATCCGTCCCCTTAGCACTTCGCCCACAAACGGACGGAAGACGATCATCCGAAATTCCACGTGCGAGTGCGACGTGCCGTCCGACGGGTGCACGAACGCGTCGCCAATGCGCACAAAGTCGTACAGCGTCACGCATAGTCCGACATCAGCGATGACTTTGTTGGCGTATTTGCGGTCGATCTCTTCTATAAGGACCTGGGTATAGTCCGCGTCAAAGAGCGACGGCGCCACAGGAATGACGTCCGATAGGCGAGTGAGCACGAACATTGGTGACTGGTGGCGATGGAGCTACGTCGGGCACGGCTTAAGTTCGAATCGAGTCACTTCAGTGGTAGAAGAGGACGTCAGTGGAACAAGGGTGGGGATTAATCAAGAATGGCCGTGTGTGTTAAACCGAGGTGGTTGTGGTGGTAGAATTCACAGCTTAGGCGTGTTTGAGGTGCATTGTAAAAACCGGTCAAAGCAAATTATTTGGGGGAAAGGTCAGCACGACATGCAAAGACACCCGTGTCGGTCGATGCGAGAATATGCATTTTTATTCCGACACCATCGACAATAAGCTAAGCCACAGCAGTAATAATATTTAAGTTCGCAACGGTTCACATTCTTTTTTCTGTCACCACCCCAAATGACATTCTTTGGCGTGCTCACACTAGTGCGAAGGATGAGTATGCGCAGCTGTTGTTGCAATTTGTTAATGTGCAGCGTGACGCAAATTACTTCTAGTGCTCAGGCGTCTGCACCCTTCGTATCTACTGGCCCGCCCATTGAGGTCATCTGGCAGGTCTACAAGCAGTGCGTGCCAATTTCAAACATCTAGGGGGTTGCGATGCCCGCTGACAATGCCCCTGACACTCCTGCCCCCGAGATTGGTAGCAAGAGCCACTACATATGCCATGACTGCACCCTCCGTGCCGTAGACGATTCACTCACTCATCTGGCTAATTGTGCCGAGATCAAGTGGAGTGGCAGCTGCCTTCTTCGCGCGTTTAAAGAGTTCGCCACGAAATTTTAGACGAGCAACTGAGTGAGAACGAGTTATAATCGAGCACGCTGAGCGTCTGACAAAGGTAGCTACGTAGCTCTCCTCAAGTCGAGTGCAGGCTTCTGTGATTTACGAGCAGGACAGTGTGGAAAAATTGTAAGAAAACATCATTTTGCATGAAGCGTCACCAACACGACAGTTCGCAAGACGGAATACAGGAGCGTTTGAATAGCGAATGTATTCGCAACAAAATAGGGGAGCAAGCTCTGGAGCTCGCTCTTAAATAAAAGTAATCCAGTTCATTAAATTGAATCGAGTCGCTCAACACTATACAACAGCAGTGACTATAGAATGAGTATCGTGCTGTAAAAAATAAGTATCAACCCAATACAAAAGACTCATGCAACGCGATCAGCCGTCTCCCCTCATGTCAGGCTAATATTTTGATCCACAAAACTGCCGTGCCAACCGTAGAAAGAAAGTCCTGGTTCTGGCTGTTTGCACCTTCTATGATAAAAAGGAGTGTTCCAATGTGGCGAAGGCACTCGATTAAAACAAAATGAGGTGTAGCAGACACGACAAAACACCATAGCCCTCACGATGCCGGAAGACCGCATTCCGGTCTCTCGAATATCTTGCTTGTGGGTCGAGATTTGGTTTAGTAGCATCGCATGCTTTAAGCGAACCCCCGGTAAGTCTTTGTTAAACACCTAGTTCATCATCCTTAAAGGCGCATGGACACTGTCACCGATCAAGACAAGTTCATCATCCTTAAAAGCGCATGGACACTGTCACCGATCAAGACAATAATTTAAGAGGCGACGTGCACTAGATCAGTTCTAGAATGCATGACTTGTCACTGCTGTAGCAGCAACCGATACATCGGGTCCAGGGAATTCTAGATCTTGGGTATACCAATTCTAGAGCGCAAAGCTATTACTCTATACATGAAAAAGCGTATGTGCGGTTGTCGAAAAGGACATTTGTATCCGCTGGGTATCTTTCGACTTGATCATGTTTAGCTTGGGCTTAGGGATGGTACGCTTATTAAGAACTAAAAGTAGTTGAGCTTATGCCTTGGTTTTCTTCGCTTTCCGTTACCTTTAAACTCCATGCGTAGGTTACTTTTAACCACCTTGTCCATCCCAAATGGTCGCGTCGTTTTACCATCCGTTGTGTCATGTCCCATCAACAGCCGCGCCTGTTATAATAGGTTGGCGCACTATTTTAGCACTCCTTCCCGTGTGGGCGTGCTTACCTAATGATCGTCATCAGTCCACGTAGCTTGCAGAGTCAGGGGACTGAGCGGGTATTGGTCAGGATGTCCGCACGCTTCTTGGGATTCGCAGTTTTGCACCTTCTGCGTCTTCTTTTCTCCGGAATTTTGACAATCTTGTACTGCAAATCGATGAGCTTTGTTCGATAAGTTATGTCTACACCCTTAATTAAGGAGATGGCTACTTGATTATACACGCGTAAAGCCGTACCTGACTGAAGCTGCACGCCGATCTTTTTAGTAGATTCACAATGCCCATAATTACAGTCGGTGTTTTTGAAGCCGCCACATACTCAGCTTCTGTAATGGGGCACCCTGAAGCTTGTACTGGTGACAGTACAAGCTACTTATTCTGATGACAGAATAAGGCGGTGCCGCGTAACTTCACGTACGCTCGTACGTGCAGAGGAAGACGGTAAGAAGAAGCGAGTACTTGGTTAAAGCAAAAACTAGAACTGTATTTATAAAGTTAATATCTGTTAATAAATCACTGTTTATCTTCATCTAACTATGTCTAAATACAAATGTGTAAACCAAATATCTGCTCACCACTCATTGCGTGCGTCTGTCGTGGCGCGTCTTCATTGGTTGATATAATGGCCTATATCAACCAATAAGGAACTACTCGTAAGTGCTGCGGAATATTTGTCCTTATGACAAAATTCTGAGAATATAACTCTTATAATTATATTCTATTAACAATTTCTTATAAATTGTAATGTAACGATTCACCCCGTTACAGCTTCTATCGTTGACAATCCTACACATTTCTGTTTCTCAAACATCCAGCCTTTTAACATGCCGCCCACCATAAAAACACCACTGCTAAATGACTTCCGGTCAGTCCTATCAGATGCATAGTCGGCGGGGCTGTGCGCCTCGACTATTACGCCTTCATCTATTATAAAATAAACTTCCCCCTTAATCACGGTATTCAGTTTCTAATTACCCTTAATAAAATAGACATTTTTGCTCGACGCCAATCGCCTTCATTCGACGCGTGCGAACGACGAGTCACTCTATTTGCCGCAGATGAAATGTCGGGTCGTGTGCACTTATCTCTTTATAAACATATCCGACAAGCGACTGTTAAGTCCACACGGGTCGCCTGTTAGGCGTGTCTTATTCAACAGAAGGTGCAGCGCACCTTGTTTATCGTTGTCTTATCCGGCAATTGGCACCTTGAACTGTGCCTACTCGCTGGTTCAACCTTTAGAGCATCTTGTTAATAGTATTTCTTGGTTTATTTTACATCATTTATCGTTTCCATCTACAATGTTCATCGTAAATAAAAAGATAAGTAAATTAAAAGAAACTTGGACCCAACATCGAGGTTTACAAGGCTTAACTACTTGCATGTCATAACGGAAATCTTTGACCCATGAGGACTTGTTGCCGTCGCCAGGATGTCATCCATGTAGATGCCTATGAGCATTTCACCGTCACTAGCATCCTAGATTTATAAGCTACTGTTGGTATATCACTGATAGAAACCCAAGGACATTAAAAATGGCGCAAAGCATCATGTTTTACAATTGGAACGACGGCTTTAGTCCGTACAACCCCAATTTCATCCTTAAAGCAAGATTCATCTTATGTTGTAAAGTGGCGATCGCTCATTTTGTCAGACGAACCCGACTCTCCACTGGTGCCCAGACGACCGACTATAGGAAGGGCTACTCCGTTATCTTGCCTTGTATTTTCTTCTCTACCTTATGTACCCATCGGTAGGACAAGCTGCACCCTTTTCAGTGGACTAGTGTCGAGGTAACTCTTGTCTTGTTTGGAATGTGTTGGTGTGATTGCGCGAAAACCTTCACACGATCACGAATATGCTTGTAGGTTGCTTCATACAAGCTACTCAGACTTAAACGAGATCGCATCGTCCCCTCTGTGGATGCTTGACACGCGAGCTCTCTGACCACTTGAGCCGTCTCGAGATCTTTCTTCTCACCGTTCGCATTGTTTCTGCGTACAATCACAGTTAAGGGAGGTGGAATTTAGAACCCAGCCAGATATCTGGGGAAATTACTTGATCTCAGCATAGGCGGATTTCTTGACGTCGTGAGGCCAATATTCTAGTCCTGAAGAGAAGTCAACAAATGTATTTAAAAGCAAATAAAATTCCGTTTAATGTCAGCCAACCAAAATCTATACTACGAGTATGCCTGTCTATAAGTCAGCCAATGCTGCCACGAGTCCTCTACATTCCGTTGATCGTTCCTTCGCATGCGTGGTCCACTTCAGATAGATAATCAATCTTCTTTTGTGATTATCGATCTCCCTGACCTATTGTCGACCTCCTTGACCGATCGTCAATCTCCTTGATCGCTATTGTTTCAGAGTGATCATTGATCCATCCGACCGTGATTCCTGCTGATTTTTCGGTGATATTTTTTCTAAATTAAACACCTCGTGCGTTTTCTATCTTGGTATCTTGACTCGATCTTGGCAACCTGACATTCCCACCGTGTTGCTATGATGTGTGATTGCGTCATTGCGATGTTTCACTCTCAGTATCGTGGTATATGATATTTCAATTATGATATCGGTCTTGGCATTGACCAGCTTTATCGCCAATTGATCTTTCTCAACAAAGTGTCGTGTTATATGGTTACTCTACCTAACCATCGTCCTCGATTGATTCGAATCGCTATACCACACCTGTCGTGTACTTCGAACTTGTCCAACAGTTTTCCCTCGGTTTTTCAAACTGTGCAAATATTTAGGAGTATTCTTTAGTCTTCTTTTTTGTCGGCTTTGACATAATCGCTAGGCACGTCGCTGTGCTGAACATGTTTTCCTTAAATACTCAACACTCCAAAAATCACTTTGCCGGCAACCATTTCCTTTACGGCCGAGAAAGTGTAGGTGTAATCAATTTTATAAATTTGTTCATTTTCTCGGGCCATCAGCCTCTCCTTGTACCTTTTGATAGTGCCGTCAACGTGCATCTTGATCTCATAAATCCACTTATCATGTAGCTACTTTGCTTAGCGATATTTACGTTCATTTCGCACGTACCTTGTCGCTCTAGTGCAACAATATCTGTGTACATGCCTCCTTCAAATGCTCGACATGAGGGATCCTCCATCACATCGTTGGATCTCTTGTGAGCATTTATCTTAATCGCTTTACGACTGTGTACTGGTAGTGCTTCTTATTCATGTCGCGTGTCTGCATCTGAATTAGCGTTGGTTTATTATATGGCAAAGGAAAAATATCATATTCATCTCCTCCTTTCGAAAAAGAGTTGTATTTTTAACATCGAATCTTTGTTTGCCGTTGAACCATCCTTCTTTTACTCTGCAAGCTCCTCCCTTTTCGGGGTTTCGTCACTATTCATTACGACGCGTTGTTGTATAAAGTCTTTGTGCTCAATTATTTGTTGCAGCTGCGCGCTCTGCGCGCTTTTGACTGTCTCGACCTCACAAATTTGCTGAGTAGTATCCACAAAATTCTTCTTTGGCAGACAGACTTTGCAGCCCCAAGCTCCACCCTTTTTAACGATAACCATTCTAAACTGGTATCTTGAAAAGCAAAAAAAATTTCGGGATCCCTGAACGTTGAGCACGAGCTCCCAAATGTAAGAAAGATGTTCACCATGTTCAGGTTCGTATCAGTCGTATTTTTTTGCGGCGATAAGCGGTTGGGGATGGCGCTACATGAGCTTCGAATGAAAACATGAGTCGCGCACTTGGCGATTTCTTCATAAAAAGGTGAAGGAAGTTCTCTAGCAAACAGCATGCATTTT